CTGCAAAAGGCATTACTTCATTGTGTTTTATGCTGTGGAGGTGGCAACCCACTCCATTGTCCTTGCCTGGAGAATTTCATGGAGAGGGGAGTCTGGTGGGCTGCAGGCCATGGGGTCTTAAAGAGTTGGACACGGCTGAGCTACTTTCACTTCACAATATTCCCTTTTATATTTGTACCACATATTCTTTATCCCTTTGTCTGTCAGTGAACATTTAGGTTGCTGCCATGTTTTGTCTGGTATAAACAGTGCTGCTAAAAACATTGGGGTGAGTGTATGATTTTGAATTAGTTTTCATCCTTTCTGGATATATGCCCAGGATTGGAATTGCTGGTTCATGTGATAGCTCTATTTTTAGTTCTTTATGGAACCTCCATGCTGTTCTCCAAAGTGGCAGTACCAATTTATGTTCCTTCAACAGTGTAGGAGGGTTCTCTTTTCTCCACACCCTCTCAAGCATTTATTGTTTGTAGACTTTTTGATGGTGTTCATTCTGACCAGTGTCAGGTGATTTTGATTTGCATTTCTCTGATAAGTAGAGCCTTTGAACATCTTTTCAGGTGACTGTTGGCCATCTGTTTGTCTCCTTTGGAGAAATACCTGTTTTGATCTTCTGTGCAGTTTTTGATTGGGTTATTTGTTTGTTTTGATATTAAACTGTATGAACTGTCTGTATATTTGGAAATAAATCCCTTATAGGTAGCATCATTTACATATATAGTCTCCTAGTCCATAAGTTGTATTTTTGTTCTTTTTTTGGTTTTCTTCGCTTTGCAAAAAGGTTTTAGATTTAATTAGGTCTCATTTGTTTGATTTGCTTGTGTTACCATGACTCTAAGAGAGATCCAAAAAAAACTTTGCTGACATTTATGTCAGTGTTTTGCATTTGTTTTCCACTATGAATTTTATAGTATCTGGTCTTGCATTTAGATGTTTAATACATTTTGAGTTTATTTTTGTATGCGGTGTTAGAAAATGTTGTAATTTCGTTCTTTTTCATGTAACTATCCATTTATCCCAGCATCACTTATTAAAGAGACTTCTTCATTCAGTATTCTTTTCTCCTTTGTTATAGAATAATTGACTCTAAGTAAATGGGTTTATTTCTGGGGTTTCTATCCTGTTCTACTGATCTGTGTTCTGTTTTGTGCTATTATCATATTGCTGTGATGACTGTAAGTTTGTGGTTTGGTCTGAGTCAGGGAACATCATTCCTCCAGCTCTCTTCTTCCTTCTCAAGATCGTTTTAGATACCAGAGTCTTTTGTATTTTGGTGCAAATTAAATTTTTCTTTGTTTTATGAAATATGTCATTGTTAATTTGGTAAGGGTTGCATTAAATATGTAGATTGCCTTGGATAGTATGGTCATTTTGACAGTATTACTTCTTTCAATCCAAGAACATGGTATATGTTTCCCATCTGTTTGTGTCATCTTTGGTATCAGTCATCAGCATCTTATAGTTTTATGAGTACAGTTCTTTTGACTTTTTAGGTAGGTTTATTCCTTAAAATTTTATTCTTTTCTATGAGATGGTGAATGGGATTGTCTCATTAATTTCGCTTTCTGATATATCATTTTTAGTGTATAGAAATGTAGCAGTTTTCTATATATTTAGTATCCACCAAGTTTACTGTGTTCATTGATGAGGTCTAGTAGTCATCTGGTGGCATCTTCGGGATTTTCTGTGTGTAGCATCATACTGACAGTTTTACTTTTTTATTTTTTAAAATTTGAATTCCTTTTATTTCATTTTCTTCTCTGATTATTGTGGCTAGGACTTCCAAAAATATGTTCAATAAAAGTGGCAATAGTGAACATTTTTGTCTTATTCATGTTGTTAAGGGGAGTGCTTTCAGTTTTTCCCTGTTGAGTATGATGTTAGCTGTGTGTTTGACATATACAGTCTTAATTATGTTGAGGTAGGGTCCATCTGTGCTGACTTTCTGAAGGGTTTTTATCATAAATGGCACTTGAATTTTGTCAGAACCTTTTCTGCATCTGTTGATGATCATATGGTTTTTAGTCTTCAACTGTTAATGTGGTGTATCATACTGAATAACTTGTGGATATTGAGAAATCTCGCATCCCTGCAATAAATCCCACTTGATCATGGTTTATGATCCTTTTATGTATTAGTAACTTTGAATCTGCTCTTTTGAACTCAGGGAAGGTCTAGGAGAATAAAGCCTTTTTCTACAAAAAGGAAAAGGCTCAGATAGGCTTTTGTAACTGGGAAGGTCCTCCAGAGTCAGTTTCAATCCCTCCTTTTCTTTGATACTCCTTGATCTTGAGATGAACATGTGTGGAAGAAGAAACGAAGTAAATGTCCAATAGAGAGGTTAATCATACTTGACAGAGGAACCCAGGTTTAGATAGCCTTTTCCTGGATGTTCTTTCGGATTTCTGCTTATAAGATTCTCACACAATATCCTGGAATATTGTGTATGTTTTTCTTGAATATAAGCATTCCATTGTAACTTACAGAATTCACAGTTGAAAAGTTTCTCAGGACATAACCTCAATCACTCTGTGCATCCATGATAACTCACAAACCATTTCAAGATGGGATGACTGAATAAGTGTTAAACAGACAACTTCTGTCTTGTATCTTCCTTGATATTTTCTTTCTATGTTCCTTGTATTTTTTTTTTAATATTTTCTAATCTGTTCCTTTGGTGGGTGGTTATGTTTACAAATAAGTTTTCTCAGTCTATAGATTCAGATTCATATCCTGGTTCTCTACCACTTTGTGGTCCAATTGGGTGTGTCTCCTGCTCTGATTAGAGAAAAACATGTTAATTTACCTCACGTCTTTCAAAGCAAATTAGTGCAGTCAGTTGGCTTACAGTAGTGCATGGTTTATAGTAAATACTCAAAATTTACTTTTGTTTAAAAAAGGTAATATCTATATTCTGTCATGTTTTTTATGATATGACTTTATCTACATTATATCTTTTTAAATTTTTATTTATTTTTTAATTGAAGGATAATTGCTTTACAGAATTTTGTTTGCTGTCAAACCTCAGCTGCATTATATCCTGTATGCTTTTCACTTGCAACATTTTTCAGCAATACTGTATCTGACCCTAGTCAATAAATACACAAAGCACTCACTTTTTATTTATTATATTTTGGTGCCATTTAACCAGGTCATTAAGAATAGTGCATGGCTAGAGATTAGCCTTCCTTGGTGGCTCAGTGGTAAAGAATTCACCTGCTATGCAGAAGATACAGGTTTGATCCCCGAGTCAGGAAGATCCCATGGAGAAGGAAATGGCAACCCACTCCATTATTCTTGCCTGGGAAATCCTTTGGACAGAGGAGTCAGGTGGGTACAGTCCACGGGGTCACAAAGAGTCAAACACGACTGAGTGACTGAACAACAACAACATAGGCAGGGATTGCTTTGGTTCTTGGCTGTTAGAAAACTGGTGAATATTTTATGTCTCAATTTATGTGTTATTTACAGATGATGGTCTTTTAGCGTGTATTCTGCAATACAGCTGACACATACTACTTGTTAACATTGTAAAATGCCTTTTCTTTTGGGTATGTAGTTCTATAGCAGATTTAGAAAATTATGTTGTTTCCAAAAAATTGTTTTAGTCATATTCCTCATTTTCTCATTTGTTTTCAATTGTAAACAACCAATTATGAATAGTTAATTATTAATTGGGTAAGCTTGGTTTTGGATTATTTACTGTTACAATATATAATATGTTGTTTAGAATTTATTTATGTACAGTAAGTATGCAGAATACAATGATAGTGTAATAGTTTTCTTTTCAATTTGAGACAACTGTTGATTGATACGTTCCTAGGGGTCCTGGTAGAAAATAACTCTTTTTGAGAATCGGCATAAGATTGTCCAATGTGAGTGTGTTTGGCATATGGTTTTTAAAACTAGGCTACATTAACTGTGAATTTATGTTATCATGCTTTCTTAAGAATTATATTCCTTTAGTGTTTCTAAAGACTTAAGGTCATCATTGTGGTGTTGCATAACTTGGTGTAAATATTACTTTTGGTGTAATATATATTCAACATGACACATTTACTTTTGAATTATTGTGAGCAGGTACCTATAGTTCTTTTTATCTTGTAGATATCTCTCCTATACATGTGATCAAGCATTTACAACCCAAAGCAAACAGTGATAAACAAGAACCATTCCAAACATTGATGCTGGGAAGACCTGAAAGCTGTGAAATCAAACATTTTCATCTTTGGGAAAGTCAGGAAAATGTGTGTGACATTGAGTGTCATGGGAGAGATGACAAAAGAAATTACAAAGGAACACATGTAAGCCTTGATGGAAATGTGCCTGATGGAAGAGATTCACATGATAGAAAGGATGCAGGAATCAAGCCCTTTGGAAACAGGCTTGGATTTAACTTTCAAGATAAACTGCAGATATTTCAAACTGGCGGGACAATTTCTGAATATAATGAAGTTGAGAGGTCTGTCAACAACAGTTTCTCATTCTCACCACTTCAAAGAATTCCTCCTTGTGTCCAAACCAGTGTTTCTAACATATATGGGAATGATTTCATGAATCCTTCAGTAATAACACAAGACCTCAAAGCACACAGGGAAAAACCTTACAAATGTGATGAGTGTGGGAAAGCCTATCTTAAGGGCTCATACCTCATTAAACATCAGGCCATCCATATAAGAGAGAAATCACATAAATGTGAAGTATGTGACAAATTGTTTGATCAAAGTTCACAGCTTGCACGTCATTTGAAAATTCATTCTGAAGTGACATGTTACAAATGTAATGAGTGTGGCAAAACCTTTAATGATAGCTCCACCCTTGCTAGACATCAGATAATCCACTCGGGAGCAAACTTACATAAATGTGATGTATGTGGTAAAATCTTTGGTCCGAATTCATTCCTTGGAAGTCATCAGAATATCCCTGCAGGAAAGAGAAGTTACCAATGTAATGAGTGTGGCAAAACCTTTACTGACAGTTCAAACCTCAGGAGACATCAGAAAATTCATACAGGAAAGAAATTGTTTAAATGTGATATATGTGACAAAGTCTTCAGCCGAAATGCACACCTTGCTGGACATCAGAGGGTTCATACTGGAGAGAAACCTTACAAATGTAATGAGTGTGGCAAACACTTCAGTCAACCTTCACAGTTCATAAGTCATAAGAGATTTCATACTGGAGAGAAACCTTACAAATGTGATGAGTGTGGCAAGGCCTTTCGTGTAAAGTCAGTCCTTTTAAGTCATCAGACCGTTCATACTGGTGAGAAACCTTACAAATGTGATGAGTGTGGAAAAGTCTTTGGTCAAAAACCGCATCTTCGCCTTCATTGGAGAATTCATACTGGAGAGAGACCTTTCAAATGTAATGAGTGTGGCAAGTTCTTCAGTCGAAATTCACACCTTACAAGTCATCGGAGAATACATATAGAGAAACCTTTCAAATGTTTCAACTGTGGAAAATCCTTTACTCAGGTCTCAGCACTCACTAAACATCAGAAAATCCATACATGAGAGAAACTTATGTGAATGTGGTATATGGTAGAAGTCTTCAAATTCAAAGTTCAAACTTCACACACTACTGTTGGTCAGAGAATTCATACTAAGGAACTATACAAATATCATGAGTGTGGCAGCATCTTAACTTGATGAGAAAATTCATACTGGATAGATGCCAGATATATATGTGTTTATTAGTCAGGTTAGAACATGGCACATAGAACATGAATTCATTTTAGAAAGATTCCTCACCAGTTTCACAAATGTGAAAAAAAAAAAAAAACCCTATCCTCACATCTCACATCTCGCCAGTAGTATCAGAGTATTTATCCTGGAGAAAACACACAGCAATGTAATGTGTGTGGCAAGGATCTTACCCAAAAGTCACAAGATAGGAACATAGTGGAGCCATACTTCCCAGGCTCAGTGGTTGTGGCAAATCCTTTACCTTTTTCACTATATGTATTCTCTGATGACTTCAGTTCAGGTACTCAGCAACTGCAGTAAGTCCATATTTGAAGAGAAGCTATAGAGATCTTTTCGTGTAAAAGAAACCAGAATTCTAACTCAGCAAAGTTGATTCTTTGGGACAGTAGTCCACCATCTTTTTGGTGTTTGGGCTTTCTGAATAAAGTCACTATTCCTTGCCCAACAAGTAGTCTCTCAGTTTATTGGCCTGTTGTGTGGTGAGCTCTAAGAGCTTGGCTTTGGTAATACATTGATCAAATGCATTTGCTACCTGCGTTTCATGATGGTCTCTGGGAAGGAATCAGTGAGATGAAGGGGCGGACTTCATTAGATACAATTCATTCAGATCAGTGTTTCCTGGAAAAACACACAGCCTGAATTATGAAATTCAAAAGTGTGTGTGAATTAGCAACAGCCAGGGCGGAAAATAATGTGACTCTAGGACATGACTCATCATGGTCAGCAGGATGAGGAAGCCCTTCCGTACATAGTCCATCCTGTTATAAAAGATAATGTTCTACCAACTGACCTTGAACAGAGTAGGCAAGATGTTGAAAGGACTGGGCTTTTCGTAGGAGGAGAAGGACAGTTACCAGGGACTGATGGTGTGCTAGGAACAATGCACAGGAAAAGGGGCATGTTCTCCTTTGGATAGAAATAACTGTTGTATGTATGATTAAAGAAGAGTTACTCTTATTTGTGGAAATTGAAGACAGAGCTGTCACAGTCTTTGTAGACCGGAACCAGGGGACTGGAGTCGACGAGAAGAAGGATACAGGGGACCCAAGTCTCGAGTGAAACAAGGGTGCTTTATTTGCAGAAACGCATGTTTATATATCTTCATACAAGGCAGCTTTAGGCAGTAAAAAAATTGAGCAAGAACAAAGCAAAGCAAATAACAATCTTCAAAGGGCCAGAAAGCATTCCATATCCTGAGTAAGAGGGGCATAACTGAATAGATTACCTTTTAGTAAAAGGTAATTGGATTCACTGAAAGGAATCTAAGCAGGTGCCCTTTCTCATGATCTCAGTACTGAGAACTGCGTGCAGCTCTGTTCATTCCTATTTTCCAGGATCTGATAAGGAACAGAGGGTCCTTGAGAAATGGCATACAAAAGAAGAAAATGCAACATATTGGATCCCTTAAAGTTGAACGTCCCCTAACAATTCCCACTTTTTTATTTTTTCATAATTAGGGGTGTAGATACTTTTGTGAAAAAGGCCTTGACCAATTGAGTTTGTTTAATTTTAATAAATTTAGTTGAAAGCGTAGGTATATTACAGATACAATCACCAGGATAATTATCAACATTATAGTTCCAGTTCCAATAATATGTGTACTGCTTTGAAACCATCCTCGAGGGTCTAGTCCAGATAATTGATCAGCTAGCTGTTCAGCTAAGGTTTCCAAATTGTTGGAAAGAGGGTAGACTCTTAGAGAAAGTTTCAAGTATTTACTTTTGCAACAATTGTACATTTATGGAAGCATTATTATGTATTTCTTGCAAATGAAATTTGATTTGTTCCCAATTGTAAGCACTATGGTTGAACCAAACAGGAGTGATACAAAATTGAGTAGAATTCCAATCACAATTTAATAATACTTGTTTTGTGAATCCCATTGGAAGGCTGTTTTTAATTCCTGAATTTTATCTTGAAATTTTTCACCTATCTGAACCTGAGTGACCCATATAGTATGAGCATTTTTAGTCCAATTTTGAATGAAGTTTTGTGTTTGAATTGAAGTTTGTAAAGCAGTGTCTATGATAGCAGGAGTGATACAAATCACTATTAACCCCAAAATGCCAAGAATCAACCATCCAATGAATCGCTTAGATTGTTAGAGTAGTTTAGTGAGTAACTGGGAGGCAAGTCTTGCCATGGGACCCTCTTTCCAGGGTCGTTGGAGGTCTACTGGCAACTGCAGACTGTGTCAAGATCGAAGAATCCAAAGGGATTCGCTTTTTAGAGAAATAGAGGAATTAAGACAAGTATACAATTTGCAATCAGTAGAAGTTGCAGAATGTAAAGTCTTATTAAATTGTAAGTTTCCTATGGTTATAACAAAAGGAAGGGGAACACAAGCTTGTATAAAATATGACTGATTATAACAGAAGGAATAGTTAGTATGACTGTGACTGGTCCTTGTGACATATCCAGTCCAAGTTTTTCTGTATTTGTAGCAAGTTTCCAGATGTCCCATTGTTCAGGCCCAATTTTTTAAGTGAGGACAATTTGAGGGCCAGGAGGTGCCATTCCGCCGTCAAGCCAGCCAAGGAGTCCTTTGCCATGGAAGTGTTCCATTTATCTGTTGGTAATCTTCCATGTTACTTGAGTAACATAATCACACATAGTACTGTTAATATCATCTGAGCAGTTAGATAACCACATACCATGGGGTCCCCTATCAACAATGGTGTTATTGGCCACAAACATTAATTTCCCTGATTTAGCTTGACACCTAACTCAATAAACAGGAGGATATTTAAAATCCTTATACGGGTCTGGTAAAAAAATAAAATCCTTATATGTAAACCTCTTACATTCCAAATTTTGTCCTTTTCCTAGAGTTTTGGTAGTATTGACCTGGTTCTCATAAAAGGACAGGGCAGTAAACAGTGTAAACAATGTGCGGAAGTTCTTTTTTGGAGGTAGGATGAAAGCCCACGTTTGTCGACTAATATTAATACATAATTCTGCTGGACCCATGCATAAAGAAAGGATTTCATAGCCTAGAGAGATGTTAATTAGTCTTCCTTCTTCCTCAGGATGAGAGGGCCCCTCCAAGCTCCAAGGAGGAGGCACATGTACTGAGTCATTAGTGGATATGACCTGTCCTTTATCTGTCCATTCTACAACGTGCAATAAAGCAGGGTTAGGTATATAAGCCCAATAAGTGTGATTAATCAAGTCATCCTGAGCAGGGGAAGCAAAAGCAAGCATAGCGACAAAAATATTTTCTGGATTCCGAGGCATTCCCTGTTGAAAAACCAGATTTTCAGATTGATTAGTAAGGGTTTTTATGTGTCCCCAAGTGGGGAGATCATAAGGTCGATGACCTCAAGTGCAGCATTTCTTGGAAATTTTTAAAGTCGCCATGGCTTGTACTGGAAACCCCTCCTTCTTGGGATTTCGCCATTTCTTCCTTTGTTGAATGCCTATAGCTCCCCTGGGATGGATCTTCCGAAGAGGGAGCCAACTGATTTCGTTGGATCCATCTGGAGAAATACAAGCATACCCCTTTCTCTGTAATATTAATTTTCCAGATTTCCATTGTTTAGTCAACCCGTCTTGATACCAGACGGGCAGAGGAAGGGAGGTATCCTTCAATGAATGCCTCCAAATGTTTTTCTGCTTTTGTCAAAATATCTCCTTGCATAAAGTTTAAAAAATTTAAAACAAATAAAGCTGTATTAACAATAGTTAGAGGATTAAAGAATATATTGCATTTGAATCTAGTAAAGTCTGCTCTGGATAAGTGTCACGGGACGTTCAACTTTAAAGGATCCAATATATTGCATTTTCTTCCTTTGTGTGCCGTTTCTCAAGGACTCTCTGTTCCTTATCAGTTCCTGGAATACAGGAATGAGCAGAGCTGCATGCAGTTCTCAGGACTGAGATCATGGGAACTATCCTGCTTGAATTCCCTTCAGTGACTCCTGTCAGTGACCTTTTACTCTCAGGACTATCCATTTTGTTGCCACTTATGGAATTACATTCTTAATGGCTGAGTAGTCATTTTATTGAAGATATATAAGCATGCGTTTCTGCAAATAAAGTACCCTTATTTCACTCGATACTGGGACCCCCCTCATCCTTCTTTTTTCGCCTTCTTTTCATCAACTCCAGTCCCCAGGTCCCAGTCAGTAAAGACCAAGACAAATGGTGCCCAAACAGGGACCTGGAGAATGCCCTTGGCAAGCGGACGGAGTGATTGTGGACCTACAGAGGTCGGTAAGTGCAGGGATATGGGACAAACGACTGGAAAGCCCCACCGCTTTTGACTTCATCATTTACTTAAATGCCAGTACCAGCCTGCAATGTGAACAGGTCTAGACCGCAGCAACACGGAAGCCTGAGAAAAAGGAGCTGAAAGTAAAGAATGGGGTCGAGAGGACTGAAATGCTCTTTAGGCAAGTCAGCGATTTTATTGAGTATGGCAGCTACCTTTATACTAGTACAAGCAGAAAACATAGTTCATAAAAAATGACATCTGGTGTTTGTCACATCAATACAATTTTTTTGTCTTAAGTGATTGCAGAAGCTTACATCTTGTTTTTGGCATTCCAAGATAAACTACTAAGTGAAGGTCACTACTGCGTTTTTCTCAAGGAAGAACAAAGGAGGCCCAGGAAATGTTTTACTACTTTATCATGGGGTGGCGGGACAGGGAATAGCCTCTTTCAAGGCTTTCCCAGGGCCTTTTTGGGCCTTGAGCAGGCCGGCTCCCCACACTTAAAGTCCAAGGAGTTTCGGTTTCATGTCAGCGAATAGAGGCTTATCTCCAAATGGTGGTTGAACATTATCCCTGATTCCCCGATGAAGGCAGTTTCAATTTAGAAATTTGGAACCAGATTAAAGAGAATGTTAAACGAGCCTGAAGATGGGGAAAAAAATATTCCAATAGTTTTCTGGCCCTCATGGGATCTTATTAAAGCTGTGATTCTGCCATTTTAAGATAATTCTAGCCTCACCCCCCTCCGATATTCGACAACAGGCAGAACACTTGTTACATGAATATGAATTAGATGATGAAACTTTACAAAACACTCAATTAGAACAACATAAAATATTTCAAAATTTTCCCACCAGCGCTGACCCAAGTGCTCCTCCTCGTCTTGCAATGGGCACAAAACCAAAAGTCCCCTCAATTCAAGAACAAGATGACCCTGATGATGATTCTTCTGAGGCTCTTTTTGACAGTAAGACTAACAATACTTTTCTTGAGGACAACGATAAGCCTTTGGCACACACTTGTATTTATGAAAAAATACTATCCACTCATTCTCCTTCACGCAAAGGCTTTCTGAGTTACTGGCTTTGCAGTCTCGAATCTCTGAAGCTGATGGTTTGTCTGCTTTCCCTGTCTTGAGAAATACTAACGCCCAAGGGAAGTAATACCTCAATACGAAGGCATTGATTTTTCTCACATGCAACAAATGAAGAAAGCTGTAACTGTGCAGCCCTCATTCGCCTTTTACTAAGGAACTTTTAAATTTTTATGGCATCTTCTATTGGAAATTTTGTTCCTTATGATTGGCGACTTTTGATAAGGGCTCTTCTTAAACCAGGAGAATATCTTCAGTGGACAATGTGGTTTCAGGATGTGGCCCGAGATCATGCCAATTCTAATGCTCGAGCTGGCACTTCCCAAAACCAAATTACTTTTGAAATGTTAACTGGTACAGGGCAATTTGATGCTATAGAAACTCAAATACAAATCCCTTCTTGGTGGAAAACTATCTTGACTATAATAATTGTAGTCATCTTGTTCTTGCTGTTTGCTTTTTATATCTGTAACTATTATATAATGAACTTTGTATCTAAGTGGCTTAGGCATTTAAGTTACAAGTGATTTTGTTCCTGCTCCTACAGTTTCCACTGCCTCCTCTAGCTATTACTCAGGGCTTTTGGATCAGAGACCCTCAATACGAGGATAAGAAGAATATGTTGCCTCAACAGTTTCGGGTCTGTGCCCCTTCCCAGCAGGAAGATGTTACAGAACAATTTCTCCACCCCTTTCCCTGGCAACCATATTCTTCTAAAAGCAGGGGGAAATAAAAGAGTTAAAGCTTAGGCAGGCAGTCCAAGGCCCTGTAAGGAGGTGGCAAACATTCTCACTCCTACTTTCCTTAAGCCTTGCGCAACAATGTATCGCTGGAGAACTGACCTTTCTTTAGGTCCAGAACTAATGATTACACAGCGCAATGTCTTACCATGGAAATGCTTTTCTGAGGCTCTATGTTAATGATTGTAATTGTAACAAATCTTGCCTGGGAACCTATATCTCAAGACTTGTACCCCTGATTACACAGCAACAGTATATCTTGCCCAGAGACATTGTCTGGAACCTGTTTTCCCTCGCTAATCTTGTACCAAAGTTATCTCAGGGTGTATGTCTTGGGAAAGGGCCAAATAGACCTCTTACAACATTGAGGTATTCTTTTTATCTATTCTCAGCAGCTAGTTGAGAAGTATGTAAGGTCCCACTTAAACTAATGAGGCGGATACTCCTTCTACTCCCACAAACCTTCGGCCAAGTATGGCCTCTTACTTGGCTGATCTAGTTTGACTTCTAAAGGAATTATTGTTCCCTGGAATAATTGATTCAGAGTATAAGGGAGAAATTCAAATTATGATGTCATCTCAGATACTATGGCAATTCAAAAAAGGGGACAAAATTACCCAACTACTTCTTTTACCTTACATTTCTATTAACTCCTGTAATGGCATCCAGACAGGTGGATTTGGCAGTACAGATCAAAAACAATCCTTATGTACATCAATAGTATCTGAATATGCATGACCAAATATAAATACCAAAATTAATGGCAAAAGGTTTTCTGGTCTTCTTGATATGGATCCAATATTACTATTATTTCCAAACATTAATGGCCCAAATCTTGTCCTGTACAGAGAATTTCTTGCCAATTGCAGGAGTTTCTCAAACCAAAGTACAAGAGGTTTATCAAAGTGTCCAAATATATCCATGTGAGGGACGAAAAGGCCAGCCTGCAACATTGCGACCTTATGTGATAAGTGCACCCCTTAATTTAATAGGAAGATATTTACTTATGCAATGACATACTCAAATATATATTCCACATTTTTCCTAGGGGCCACTGCTCACTTAGCAAACAATGCAATTATTAAAATTACTTGGAAAAATGACGAGCCTATTTAGACAGAGCAATCAGGTCAGTTGCTCAGTTGTGTCCGACGCTTTGCGAGCTCATGAATCGCAGCACGCCAGGCCTCCCTGTCCATCACCAACTCCCAGACTCTACCCAAACCCATGTCCATCGAGTCAGTGATGGCCATCCAGCCATCTCATCCTCTGTCATCACCTTCTCCTCCTGCCCCCAATTCTTCCCAGCATTAGGGTCTTTTCCAATGAGTCAACTCTTCACATGAGGTAGCCAAAGTATTGGAGTTTCAGCGTCAGCATCAGTCCTTCCAATGAACACCCAGGACTGATCTCCTTTAGGATTGATTAGTTGGATCTTCTTGCAGTCCAAGGGACTCTCAAGAGTCTTCTCCAACACCACAGTTCAAAAGCATCAATTCTGCGGCACTCAGCTTTCTTTACCATCCAACTCACATCCATATATGACCACTGGAAAAACCGTAGCCTTGACTAGATGGACCTTTGTTGGCAAAATAATGTCTCTGTTTTTAAATATGCTATCCAGGTTGGTCATAACTTTCCTTCCAAGGAGTAAGTGTCTTTTAATTTCATGGCTGCAATCACCATCTACAGTGATTTTGGGACCCCCCCAAAATAAAGTCTGACACTGTTTCCACTGTTTCCCCATCTATTTCCCATGAAGTGATGGGATCAGATGCCATGATCTTAAGTTTTCTGAATGTTGAACTTTACTTCAGGTTTTTCACTCTCCTCCTTCAGTTCCATCAAGAGGCTTTTTAGTTCCTCTTCACTTTCTGCCATAAGGGTGGTGTCATCTGCATATCTGAGGTTATGATATTTCTCATACTGAGGAATTTTATTCCCTTTGGAATTCTCCCATTTTTGTAATAAAAAAGAAATCTGGCAAATGGCATCTTTTAACAGATCTTAGAAAAGTTAATGCATCTATGAAACCTATGGGTGCATTGCAACCAGGAATTCCATCACCTACCACTATTCCTCAAAACTGGCATATTATTATTATAGATTTACAGGATTGCTTTTTTACTATAACTTTATACCCTCTAGACAGAGATTTGCTTTCTCTCTTCTTTATCATAATCATATCAGGCCTCATAAACTATATCAATGGACTGTATTACCTCAAGGAATGATGAATTCTCCCACCATTTGTCAATATTATGTTGCCAAAGCCCTTGGACCTATGAGAAAACAGTTTCCTAAATTTCTTGTTATTCATTATATGGATGATATATTGTATTCAGCTCCATCTGTTTTATAAACTCAAGAAATATTTGACATAGCTCAACAATACTTAAAGGACTCTGGATTAATCATTGCCCCTGAAAAGATTCAAACCTCTACACCTTATCATTACTTAGATCTGTTGTTAATAGACAGGGTATTACTCCCCAACTAACACAGATTCATGTTGATAAATTATCAACCTTGAATGATTTTCAAAAATTTTAGGCGATATAAACTGGATTAGACCCTCTTTAGGCACTGCAAATTATCAACTGACCAATCTATTTAATACTTTGAAAGGAGATCCCAATTTAAATAGCCCTCATTTAATACAAAATAAATTGCAGAAACAGTTTCTTACTCGTATTAGACTTGAATTACCTCTCGAGTTGTTTATACTCCCTTCTCTCCATTCCCCCATGGGACTTCTTGCCCAACAAGAACACCGGCTAGAATGGATCTATACCCAATTTAGAGGGACAAGGTCACTTATGCCCTATCTTGATTTGATTGCTCTAATACTTATCAATGGGAGAGAGA